AAATAAAATCTTTAAAAAAAAATATGCTGAGTAAAATAAGCCAGACACAAAAAGACAAATATTGTATGATTCCTTTTAGATAAGGTACCTAGAATAGGCCAATTCATAGAGACAGGAAGTAGAATAGAAGTTACCAAGGGCCGGGGGACATAGGAAAATTAGGGAGTTATTGTTTAAATGGTACAGAGTTTCAGTTTGGGGTGATAAAAAAGTTCTGGAAATGGAAGTGGTGGTGGTTACACAACATTGTGAATTTACTTAATGCCACTAAATTGTACACTTAAAAATAGTTAAAAGGTGGGGCGCCTGGGTAGCTCAGTTAGTTAAACATCCAACTCTTGATTTTGGCTCAGGTCAAATCTCAGGGTCGTGAAACTGAGCCCTGTGTTGGGCTCTGTGCTGGGTGTGGAGCCTGCTTAAGATTCTATCTCTCTTGGGGCGCCTGGGTGGCTCAGTCATTAAGAGTCTGCCTTCGGCTCAGGTCATGATCCCAGGGTCCTGGGATCCCAGCCCTGCATCAGGCTCCCTGCTCGGCGGGAGGCCTGCTTCTCCCTCTCCCTCTCCTCCTGCTTGTGTTCCCTCTCTCACTATGTCTCTCTGTGTCAAATAAATAAATAAAAAATCTTAAAAAAAAAAAAGATTCTATCTCTCTTCCTCTCCTTCTGTTCCTCCCCCCTCTTAAAATGGTTAAAAGGATACATTTTTACTGTATATTTTACCACACACACACACCCCCCACACACAGAATCAAAAACCATTGCTTCCTAACCACCAAACAAATAATACAGCTTTAGCAAACAAGTTTTTATGCAATAGCATAACACAGTGATGCTTCTCTTAGCACCAGCAACTTTTGAAATTCACACTCCTTTTGTTGACAGGAAGGCACACTTTGGAAAGAATACTTGATTCTGATATCCTACCAATAGTGGTTGGAAATTATCTGAAAACATTTCCTACAATGAGTTTTGTTTAAAACATTGCACTGAGTTTTGGGAATGTAAACATAAAATTTCCTTACATAAATGTTGGACAGAAAATGTCGCATTCAAAGATAGAAAGTTAGTGTGGAGTTCTGGTATTGAAAACCAAGGGGCCGCCTGGGTAGCTCAGTCAGTTGAGCATCTGCCTTTGGCTCAGGTCATGATCCTAAGGTCCTGGGATCAAGTCCTGCATCAGCTCCCTGCTCAGCTGGGAGCCTGATTCTCCCTCTCCATCTGCCTGCCGCTCCCCCTGCTTGTGCTCTCTCTCTGTCAAATAAATAAATAAAATCTTAAAAAAAAAAAAAAAGGAAAGAAAACCAAGAGGATTCTCCTAGGAAATGGTAACTGGAGAAATGTCTCACAAGGTATGAATTATAGATCTTCCAAACCCACAGAAGGAAAACTAAGAATAAAGAAAACTAGACCAGGGTGCCTGGGTAGTACAATTGGTTAAGTGTCCAACTCTTGGTTTTGGCTCAGGTCTGATCTCAGGGTTGTGAGATCAAGCCCTGAGTCAGGCTCTGCACTCAGCACAGAGTCTGCTTCATTATCTCTCTCCTTCTCCCTTTGCCTCCCCCTCAAATAAATACATTTTAAAAAAATTAAAAAGAAAAGAAAACTAGACTATTGAAATAGAAAGAGTAGGTGTGCCTGGCTGGCTCATTTGGTAGAGCATGCAACTCTTAATCTTGGGGTTGTAAGTTCAAGCCCCACATTGGGTGTAGAGATTACTTAAAAATAAAATATATTAAAAAAGAAACAGGTGAAGTGAAGTATAATAAATGTATAGTATATAATAAATGTATAATAGTCCACAATAGCCAAACTGTGGAAAGAGCCAAGATGTCCCTCGACAGATGAATGGATAAAGAAGATGTGGTATATATACACACAATGGAATATTATGCAGCCATAAAAAGGAATGAGATCTTTCCATTTGCAATGACATGAATGGAACTAGAGGGTGTTATGCTGAGTGAAATAAGTCAATCAGAGAAAGACATGTATCATATACCTCACTGATATGAGTAATTCTTAATCTCAGGAAACAAACCGAGGGTTGCTGGAGTAGGGGTGGAGTGGGAGGGATGGGGTGGTTGGGTGATAGACATTGGGGAGGGTATGTGCTATGGTGAGCGCTGTGAATTGTGCAAGACTGTTGAATCACAGATCTGTACCTTTGAAACAAATAATGCAATATATGTTAAGAAAAAAAAGAAGAAGAAGAAGATAGTAGGAGGGGAAGAATGAAGGGGGGTAAATCGGAGGGGGAGACGAACCATGAAAGACGATGGACTCTGAAAAACAAACTGAGGGTTCTAGAGGGGAGGGGGGTGGGGGGATAGGTTAGCTTGGTGATGGGTATTAAAGAGGGCATGTTCTGCATGGAGCACTGGGTGTTATAACAATGAATCATGGAACACTATATCAAAAACTAATGATGTAATGTATGGTGATTAACATAACAATAAAAAATTAAAAAAATAATGAATGTATAATAAATGTAAAACACAAAATTGGCACAAATTAATTCAAATTGATCAATAAGCACAATAAATATAAACAGATTAATTTTTACCTATTATAAGACAGAGACTCCCATAATGGATATCTTTTTTGAAGCTTTTTGATTTTTACAAAAGACACTCCAAAAACATAATGAAACAGAAAAACTAAAGGTAAAAGAGTATACACCAGGGAAATAATTGCCAAAAGAATGCTAGTATCAATCTAATAACTTAGTCTTGATATATGTAGCAAAAATCAACAGACTCACAAGGAGAAATTGGCAAATCAGCAATCATAATGGAAGATCTTTTTGTCAACATTTTTTAATGAAAAATTTCAAAGTCCTGGAAGTTGAAACAATCTTACAGTGTACACCCAAATACAGGCATACCTTGGAGATAGTGCAGGTTCAGTTCTAGACCACCACAAAAAAGGAAGTATTGCCAGAAAAGGAGCCAAATAATTTCTTTGGTTTCCCAGTGCATATAAAAGTTATATTTACACTATATTGTACTTTATTAAGTGTGAAATAGCATTAGGTCTAAAAATCAATGCACATACCTTAATTAAAAATTACTTTATTGCTGAAAAATGCTAACCATCATCTGAGATTTCAGCAAGTTTTTAGCTGGTAGAGAGTCTTGCCTTCATGTTGATGGCTACTGACCAATCAGGGTAGTGGTGTTGAAGGTTGAGGTGGCTGTGGCAATTTCTTAAAATAAGACAATGAAGTTTGCCACAGCAAATGGCACTTCCCTTTACAAATGATTTTTGTGTAGTATGTGATGCTGTTTGATAGCATTTTACCCACAGTAGAACTTCTAACAAAATTGGAGTCAATCCTCTCAAGCCCTGTTGCTGCATTATCAACGAAGTTTATGTAATATTCCTTATTTTTTAAAAGATTTTTATTTATTTATTTGACACAGAGAAAGAGACAGTGAGAGAGGGAACACAAGCAGGGGGAGTGGGAGAGGGAGAAGCAGGCTTCCCGCCAAGCAGGGAGCCCAATGCAGGGCTCGATCCTAGGACCCTGGGATCATGACCTGAGCCAAAGGTAGACACTTAATGACTGAGCCACCCGGGGGGCCCCTATGTAATATTCTAAATCTTTCACTGTCACTTGAACAACCTTCATATCAGCTTCACCAGGACTAGATTCCATCTCAAGAACCACGTTCTTTGCTCATCTACAAGAAGCAATCCTTGTGCGTTAAAGTTTTACCATGAGATTGCAGCAATTCAGTCACATCTTCAGGCTCCACTTTTTTTTTTAAAGATTTTATTTATTTATTTGAGAGAGAGAGAGTGGAGGGGCAGAGGGAGAGGGAGAGAGAGAGAATCTCAAGCAGACTCCACACTGAGTATAGACCCCAAGGCGGGGCCCAATCTCACAACCCAGAGATCATGACCTGTGCAGAAATCAAGAGTCAGACACCTGGCTGACTGAGCCACCCAGGCACTCCCAGGCTCTACTTCTAATTCTAGTTCTCCTGCTATTTCCACCACATCCGTAGTTACTTCCTCCACTGAAGTCTTGAACCCCTCAAAGTCATCCATGAGGATTGGAATCAACTTCTTCCAAACTCCTGTTCATGCTGATGTTTTGACCTTTTCCTGCAATCACAGATGTTCTTAATTCATTTACAACGGTGAATCCTTCCCAGAAGATTTTCAATTTATTTTGCCCAGATCCATCAGAGGAAACACTATGGCAGCTGTAGCCTTGTGAAATGTATTTCTTAAGTAATATGACTTGAAAAATTTAATTACCCTTTGATCCATGGAATGCAGAATGGATGCTGTGTTCATAAGCATGAAAAACAACATTAATCTTATCATGTATTTTCATCAGAGCTCTTGGGTGACCAGGTGCATTGTCAATGAGCAGGAATATTTTGAAAGAAATCTTTCTTTTCTGAGCAGTAGGTGTCAACAGTAGGCTTAAAACATTCAGTAGACCATGTTATAAACAGATGTGTTGTCATCCGGGCTTTGTTGTTCCATTTATAGATCACAGGCACAGTAGATTTAGCATAATCTTTAAGGCACCTAGGATTTTCATAATGGTAAATGAACGCTGGCTTCAACTTCAAGTCACGATGTGCATTAGCTCCTAACAAGAGAGCCAGCCTGTCCTTTGAAGCCTTGAAGCCAGGCATTGACTTCTCTTTAGCTATGAAGTCTTAGATGGCATCTTCTTTTTTTTTTTTTTTTAAGATTTTTATTTATTTGACAGAGAGGGACACAGCAAGAGAGGGAACACAAGCAGGGGGAGTGGGAGAGGGAGAAGAAGTCTTCCCGCGGAGCAGGGCCCGATGCGGGGTTCCATCCCAGGACCCTGGGATCATGACCTGAGCCGAAGGCAGATGCTTAACGACTGAGCCACCCAGGCGCCCTGGCATCTTCTTTTAATATAAGGCTGTTACATATACATTGAAAATCTGTTGTTCAGTGTAGCCACCTTCATTAATGATCTTAGCTAGATCTCCTGGATGACTTGCTGCAGCTTCTGTATCAGCAATTGCTGCTTCATCTTGCTCTTTTTTTTTTTTAAGATTTTATTTATTTATTTGAGAGAGAATGAGAGATAGAGAGCATGAGAGGGAAGAGGATCAGAGGGAGAAGCAGACTCCCCACTGAGCAGGGAGCCCGATGTGGGACTTGATCCAGGGACTCCTGGATCATGACCTGAGCCGAAGGCAGTCGCTTAACCAACTGAGCCACCCAGGAGCCCTCACCTTGCTCTTTTATGGAGAGGGCTTCTTTCCTTCACCCTCATGAACCACCTCTGCTAGCTTCACACTTCTCTTCTGCAGCTTGCTCACCTCTTTCAGTCTTCACAGAATTGAAGAGAGTTAGGGCCTTGTTCTGGATTAGGCTTTGATTTAAAGAATGTTGTGGCTGCTTTGATCTTCTATGCAGACCACTAAAGATTTCTTCATAATAAGACTGTTTCACTTTCTTACCATTCATGTGTTCACTGGAGTAGGACTTTCCTTCAAGAACTTTTCCTTTGCATCCACAACTTGGCTAACTGTTTGCACAAAAGGCCTAGCTTTTGGCCTGCCTTGGCTTTCAACATGCCTTCCTCACTAAGCTGAATCATTTCTAGCTTTTGATTTAAAGTGAGATGTGTGACTCTTTCTTTCACTTGAACACTTGGAAGCCATTGTAGGATTATTAATTGGCTTAATTTCAATATTGTGTCTCAGGGAACAGGGAGGCCTGAGTAGAGGGAGAGAGATGGGGAATGGCCAGTTGTTGAAGCAATCAAAACACATACAACATTTATTGATTAAGTTTATTGTTTTATATGTTCTTGGTTCATGGAGCCCTAAAACAATTACAGTTGTAACATCAAAGATCACTGATCACAGATCACCGTAACAAATATAATAATGAAAAAGTTTGAAATATTGTGAGAATTACCAAAATGTGACATAGATACATGAAGCAAGCAAATGCTGCTGGAAAAATGGTGCCAATAGAGTTGTTCAAAACAGGGTTGCCACAAATTTTCAGTTTGTAAAAAAATACAGTATCTGCAAAGTGCCATAAAGCAAAGTACAATAAAACAAGGCATGCTAAATTCCACTAGTAACATTTTACTTTCTATTGACTTTTACATGTAACTATCCATCTCTCTGTCTTTCTATCCATGAATTAACCCATTTTATTTTTTATGCATTCCAAAGTCAGTTGCAGTCAGTTTCCCTTCCCTTAAAGACTTCATTAACTAAAGTTGACTAGTTGCAAGTTTTTCTTTTGGAATAAATTTTGCATGCCATAAAATGCACAAATTTTTAGTGTACATTTGCTGAGTTTTGACAAATGCGTACAACTGTGTAACCTAAATTCCCAGCAAGATATAGAATGTTACCATCATTCCATAAAGTTCTTTCATGTCCTTTCACAGTCAGTCATAATGGGAGATTTTAATATACTTTTCTTACAAGAAAAATTAGTAATGATCTATAAAATGTGAAGCAGACAATTAATGGGCTGTAGCTCATAAACATACAGAGAATTTTCTCCCATTAATCAAGAATGCACATTCTTTGCAAGCACACAGAGAACATTTATGAAAACTGACCATGTACTAGGCCTCAAGGGGATTTTCCACAAATTTCAAAATATGAGTATCACACAGAACAAATACATATATATAACAAAACTAGCAAAGCCATCTTGCCATCCCTTGGGAAGATCTTGCCAGGGCATGGAGCCAAGCATGGACAGAAAAGCAGGGGAGAGACTGATAACCCTACCATGTGAGCAGCTGGATTCTACTGAAACCTATTCCTGCTTATGTGAGTTTTTGTTGGGTCTCTGTCATTTGCAACCCAAGAGTTCTGAATAGTACAGACGCTTACAAGGAAAGGTATGGTACAGTTATTCAGGCTTCTCATTATATGAAAATTCTTCACATTTTTAGTTTGCTTCAAGTATAAAGCACATTATTTTTTTTTTAAAGCACATTATTTTTTAATCATCTGTGAAATAGTATTTTTTATGATGGCCTCTTTATAGATGAAGCAACTGAGATTCAGAAAGTTTAGGAGACTCACTCAAGATCACAGTCCAGTGAGCCCCTTCACATGGTCCTCAAAATCTGAGACACCCTCTGTCATACTAATTATACCCCATCTGTTCCCTTGTTCCTCCTCTAGGCAGTGAGCTCCTCAAGGGAAGGGATGGGTCTTCATCTTTGTGTTCCCATTGCCTGGCACAGGGCCTATTAAATGAGATGCCACTGTCATTTATTGGCTGAATGGTTGAAGGAATGAATGACTAATCATGCCAAAAGCAAGAGATAATGTGTGAGATTGAGGTAGGAAGAGAAAGATATGTTTTTTTAAAAACAGGGATACTAGATTTTGGTCCACCCATATGACCTCATTTTACCTTCATCACCTCTTCAAAGATTTTTTTTTTATTCTTAAGTAATCTCTACACCCAATGTGGGGCTTGAACTTATAACCCTGAGATCAAGAGTTGCATGCTCCTCCAACTGACTGAGCCAACCAGGCACCCCTCCTTCATCACCTCTTTAAAGTCTCTGTCTCTGGGCATCTGGGTGGCTCAGTCGGTTAAGCATCTGCCTTTGGCTCAGGTCATGATCCCGGGGTCCTGGGATGGAGCCCGTGTCAGGCTCCCTGCTCAGTGGACAGTCTGCCTCTTCTTCCCCCACTCCCGCTGGTGCTTGCTCTCTCTCTCAAATAAAAAAATAAAATCTTAAAAAAATAAAGTCTCTGTCTCAGAAAAAAAAAAGATTCTCTCTCTGTCTCCCTTTCTCCCCTCCCCACATGCATGCTTGCTCTCTCTCTCTCTCTTTCTCTAAAAAAGAAATAAATACAATAATAATAATGATAGCCATCGAAATATCTAAAAAAAAAATAAAGTCTCTGTCTCCAAATACAGTCACAATCTGAGGTACTGGAGGTTAGGACTTCAACATATGAACTTTTGGGGAGAGGGGTATACGGTTCAGCTCATAACACTATCTCACAGGGCTATTATGAAGACTGAATGAGATAATACATGTAAAGCAAAGATCAGGAGACCTAGAATGTTGTAAGAGCTTATCAAACATTTGATGTAATTGAACACTAAATTTGGGCATAAGGGTAATCAGCAAGTTACCTTTTTTCAGTGGGATAGTGGCTGGAAGTGCCCTGGGGGCTTCTCTTCTCATCCAGGTGCTCAGTCCAGCATCATCCTTGCCTTATGGTCTATAGTCCCCATTTTGTTCCCACAACTGTTCCATTCTAGCCTGGCCCCTCCCTGGGGTCAAAGAGAAATTCTTTCTGTAAAGTGTTTTCAATCTTTCTTTCTGTAACTGCTTTTCAATCTTTCTTTCTGTAACTGCTCCAAGGTTAGTTTTTAAAACAAGGAGACATTTTGTGCCACCTACTCACAGCTCAGCAAGTGCTTTTCCAATACTGCTGCTATTTCTAATCCTTGGGCAAGCCACTTATTAAAATTTAATGACAATAACTTACATTTATAAAGCCACGTTCAGTTTACAAAGCTCCTTTCCATCCATTATCTCTTTTAACTCTCACAATATCTATAGGTAAGAAGTATATTTTTTTCTGTTTTACAAAGGAAGAAAATAAGGCTCTGAGGAGTAGCATTATCGTCCAGTGGCAGAGATGGGCCTCAAATTCTGGCTTTTATATCCATCATGGCAGGAGTAGCTCACCTATTCAGGCATTCTTCTAGAATATAAACAATACATTAAACTAGCCCTGCTCTCTTTTGGGAGATGTAGTTAAGTTATTTAGGACTATTTTGATTGGAAGCAACAAAACCCCAACTCAAACTGGCTTAAGCAAAACCTGAAGGTATTGGCTCACCAAACAGAACAATCCAGAAGCAGGTCTTCAGGCATAGATGGCTCCAGGTGTTCAAACTATGTCATCAGAACTATCTCTCCTTTTCTTACTTTCCTATGTGTTCACATTATTCTTAGACAAATTCTCTGCTTAGGGTATCAAAGATGGCCCCCAGTAGCTGAAGCTTACCATTCCTTCAGCTCAACAAACTCAACAGAGAGACAACACCTCTTGAAAACTTAACAAATGACCTAGATATCAATCTCAACTATTTGGGTCGGTTTATGGGCCCACCCCTGAACCAATCATTGTGTTTAGAACAATGGAGTATTCTCATTGTCCAGGCCTGATCATTTGCTCCACTCTGGGGAAGAGTATAATGGTGGTGGTGGGGTGAATCTCACCAAACACAGGGACTGAGTGAGGGGGAAAGAAGTACCAATGTCAGAGGTGGTATGGGTGGTGGGCAGATCTCTACAGGGTGGCCTTGCTCTGCAGAGCTAGAATAGAGCAACCAGTGATGAACTAAGGGCCTAACTTTGCAAGAATCCCAGTTCTTCCCTTAAGAGAGTGGTAAGTGGACTTCTGTGTTGTTGTTTTTTTTTTCCCCTGGACTGCCTGGTTTGGCAGAGCAGGATAAAAAAAAAAAAAAAAAAAGGTGATAATTCATGGCAGAGTAAGGAGAAAAGATGGAGCTTCTGGCTCCAGTAACTTATGTTCAGAATAGTACCCAAACCAGGAGCATCCACAGAAGGAGACTTTGAGGATGACCCCTTCCCTGATCCCTCCTCCCAGGACCCCATGAAGTTGTGAGCTCCAGGAGGAGAGGGACCACATCTGTTTTACTCACCATCTCATCCCAGCTCTAGCATAGTGCTGTGCTGGCACATTACAGGAGACTTTATTTAGTGCATGAATGCACAAATGAATTAGGTGGATTAGTCTAATTGGCAGGATCAATCCATCTTTTTGTTCAAGTCAGTCCCCTCTTTGGCCTCTGTTCTCCAATAGCTAAGGTGTGGGGAGGTGTAGCCCCTTGATTCTAGGATCTTAGCATTCTCAGGAAACAGCCAGGATGCCCCCTGCAAGGAGACAATGGAAGGGGAAACCAAATTTATTGAGCGTTCTGTACTCAGATGAGATGACTTCACATGGGTCTGAGTTGCCCAAATGTGGAGCCCATTTCATGGGCCTCATAATTTTGTTTTAAAAATTTTTTTTTTTAAAGATTTTGTTTATTTATTTGAGAGAGAGAGAATTAGAGATAGAGAGCATGAGAGGGAAGAGGGTCAGAGGGAGAAGCAGACACCCTGCTGAGCAGGAGCCCGATGTGGGACTCGATCCCGGGACTCCAGGATCATGACCTGAGCCGAAGGCAGTCGCTTAACCAACTGAGCCACCCAGGCGCCCTGTTTTAAAATTTGAGATGGAGAGATGGCTGCATAGTAGGAAGAACCTTGGCTTGTCCTTCAAACAAAACTAGGTAACTATCAAATCAAACAATCAAATCATAACTATCAACTCAAACCTAGTATGAGTACCCAAGAAATCAACCTGAGGACTGACAGAACAAACTCCACAACTAGAGGGAGAGAAGAGGCCACATCAAGGAAGGGAATTTATGGGGAAATATGTGCTTTATGGGATAAATCCAAAGAACTAAAATACATTTTATTTTAAATAAAAATGGACATTTAATCTTACACAGCAAAATTACTGATTATATACTTGCTGAGCTGACTTAAGGGTTCAGAAAATTGTATCAAGAGTTTTATTTTTTGACCTCAAAGGCTTCTTAATAAAGTCTTTTTACTAAAAAATAAAATAAAATAAAATAAAATTTGGGATGGAAATAACACTGCCTATGTTTTATTGTGCCCAAACAAGGACATTAAAAAAACAACAACACAAAACCTATCATCAAACAAACTTAACTAAAGAAAAAATTAACTATCATCAACACTTCTTTAAAAACGAATTTTTACACTAAGAAAGCAGGAAGTATACAATCTCAGGAAAAAAAAGAACAGTGCCTCCCCCCCTCGGAAAAGACATTTGGCAACCTTATATGATTATTTTTTTCTGAAGATAGATGCAAATTTCATCAGACTGGCCCCCGTGTAGGGTTCAGTATTTGGAACCTACTAACATTATGTTTCAACCCCACTCGTTGCCTCCACGTGCCTGTGAAATGGGGCTTAATCTGCTCACTTTGCAGATGGGGAAACAAAGGTTCAGAGAGCCCCAGTGCAAGGTCACAGAGGTAGTAAATAGTAGTCAGAGTTTGTCTGGATGCCAACCCTGACCATGTTGGCTGATCCTAAGTCAAAAGTTACTCCCCTTCAGGGAAAGAAATGACCCACACTGGCTCCCTTGGAGTGCCCCCAGGGTGTTCTTGGGCCTGACCTTGAGCCTGGACTTGGACGCTTTGTTCTTTAACACATCTTAATCATGTGCTCACTTCGTGCCAGGCACTCCGGAGAGTGTAGGGAGGGAGACCAGCATGTTCCCAGCCTCCTTCCCTCTTGTCCCGCATACTCACCCTGGGTCTTGTTCTCCAGGCCCAGCTCCTTCCGCTGGTGGCCAACGAATCCCTATCGCGGGCGTGGGATGCTAACAGTTTAGAGGGTTCCCTCTCCCAGGGGTGTTGGCAGTTTCCAAGGAGACTCTGGGAACCTTCAACGCCTCCAAGACCCAAAGGGCTGGAAGCGTAATGGTGCAACCTGAGGCACTGTGTTAGGCTGTAGGGAAGGTAATTTGGGAGCAAAAGATCAGTTCAAACCCTATCAAATAATACTCCGTTTGGTCCCTCCCCCATTCCCATGGACTCTGCGGGGACCCACAAAGCCCGCAGCTCAGGCTGGAAGAAGGGGGTCCCCCGTCAGAGGGCCCTACTGTGTAAGGGGCTTATTGCTCGGGCTGGGGGACCCCTGGGACCGTGCCCACCCCTTCCCCAGACTACCAGAACCTGGAGCGCCCCTCCCCCGTTCCGCCCCGCCCCGCCCCGCACGCCCGCGGCGGGAGCGCGCCGGTGCACGAGAGCGCGCGCCTCGGCGCGGGAGCGCGCCCCGGGGAGAACCCGAGCAAGATGGAGGCCGCGCCGAGGCCGCCTCCTGGGCCGAGGCAGCAGCTGCTGGGAGCGCCGAGCCGGGGCGCCTAGGCCGTGCCAGTCCCGGACCCACTGCTCTGGACCGGGCCCAGGTTGGTCTCCCCGCACCCCGTCCCCGCGGCCGCAGTCTGCGCGCGCGTCCGGCCTGGGCGCGGGGCAGCCGCCCCCCACCCCCACCCCCGGCCCTACCCCCGGCCTTACCCCCGCCGGGCCGCTCCCCAGCGCTCTGGGGATAAACCCTGCCTACAGTCCGGCCCTCGAGGCCCGGGCTGCCTGCCGGCCCCAGTCCCTCGTACCCTTGGCCTGGAAAACCTCTCTCCTCAGCCCTGGCCCGCCAATCCTAGGCTTCCCTCAGCCTACATCCAGTCCTGTCTTCTGTGGGACCCCCCCAGACCCCCGCCCTGTGTTCAGACCTTGCAGTCCCAGCCCTCGACTCCCCACTAGCCTCATCCTGATTTCCTCCACTTCGCCCTCCCTGTCCCAGCCCCCATATCACCTTCCCAGTCCCCCAGTACCAGCCCCTCATATCCCCTTCTTATCCCCTCATATAGAAGCACCAGCCCCCCTCTCCACAGCGCCTTTCTAGACGCCCAATAACAAATCTCCTTTTACCCCTAATACCCAATTTCCTTTCCAAGCTCCCTATATACTGGCCCTCTGCTAATCCCCCAATACCGGTCCTCAGCCTCCATTCCATCTCCCCATGGTTCCTTCCTACTCCCCCAATTCTAGCCCCCAAATCCCCTCCCCAACACCCCCATGACCACTTTCTAGCCAGCCCCCACTTCCAGCTCCCATATCCACATCCCATCCCCCTCATCCCAGCCCCCCCAACTTTCACATGTCCTTTTCCTAGGCCCCCAGTTGGAGATCTTTACTCCCCCCAGACACCGCCCCAACACTCAGGACCCCCTCCTGCCTCCTCCATACTACCCCTTAGGTCCCCCCAGCTCCGCCCCAGGCCCCGCCCTCGAGAGTTCCTTGGCTCAGGGCCGCTTCTCGCGTGCGTCCCCAGCTCCCTCCTGTCAGCCCGGCAGCCCGGCGGTCGGTCCCGGGCCGGCGGCCCCCGCCAGCCGCCGTCGCCGCCGCCGGCCCCGCCCCCGGGCACCATGCTGCCCTCGCAGGAGGCCTCCAAGCTCTACCACGAGCACTACATGCGGAACTCGCGGGCCATCGGTGTGCTATGGGCCATCTTCACCATCTGCTTCGCCATCATCAACGTGGTGGTCTTCATCCAGCCCTACTGGGTGGGCGACAGCGTGAGCACCCCCAAGCCTGGCTACTTCGGCCTCTTCCACTACTGTGTGGGCAGCGGGCTGGCGGGCCGCGAGCTCACCTGCCGAGGCTCGTTCACCGACTTCAGCACCATCCCGTCCGGCGCCTTCAAGGCAGCCGCCTTCTTCGTGCTGCTCTCCATGGTGCTGATCCTCGGCTGTATCACCTGCTTTGCGCTTTTCTTCTTCTGCAACACGGCCACGGTCTACAAGATCTGCGCCTGGATGCAGCTTTTGGCAGGTAGGGGAGGGGTGGGCGCGGGACCCCCAGAACAAGCGCCGAAGACGGGGTCCCTTCTTGAGGGGTCAGAGAGATTCTGTTCCTCTGTCTAAAGACACACCTCCTCGGTGTCCCTCAGCAGCCACTGGGGAAGGGATTTATGAGAGAGAGACACCTTGGGGCAGGAGGCAGAGCCTTAGGACTGGGTCTTTGAGTTTGTGTGCTTGGATATGGGCAGACTGCATTTATTGATGGGTTAGCGTTATGTTAGAGTGTCTGAGGGTCTCTGAGAGTCTCTTTTGGTTGTCTTGGGGGAAATAATTATCTGAATGAGGAGTTACTCTAGGAGTGAGCAATTTCTATTGTATCAAAAAAGAGGATGAGTTGGGGGAATCAGAAGATCTGACTTTGACCTTTATCTTGCTGACATTATCAACTTGGGTGTTTCACTTTACTTCTCTGAGGCTAGGCTTCCACATCTGTAAAACAATGGAGAGGATCCCAAGAACAAATGAAAGAGTATCTTGTAAACTTTGAAGGTCTGTATTAAGATAAAGGAACATAGGAAGATATGCATGTGTATAGTGTCTATCCAGTGTTTGAAATGTGGGTGGTTGACAGCATGAGGGTCTTGGGAGGGCAAGTCTCCACCTGCCACCCCCACCCAATGCAGGAAGGGTTCTGGTGCTATGCTCAATGGGAATAAATCCCTGGGACGCTTTGAAATGTTTAGCTAGGACAGACATCTTGCCCTAAGAACCAGAGAAAGGACTTTTGGGAATAAGAACTGCTGAGACTATATTCCAGGATCCATTAGAGTCCCCACCCCCACCCACCTTTTGATCGAAGGCAGATTTTGAAGATTCAGCAACTTGGGCATTTGCCTAATTGCGGGCAGGAAAGAGTTGGGCTGGGGAAAGTGAGGTCAAGATATAGCAGGAATTGGGGGAGGAGGGCTGGTGAGGTTAGGAAAAGTTTGGAGCCCTCCAGGAATGAGAAAGAGTAGGGAAAATGTGATGATCATACAGTAGAGATGGTCTTTCAAAATAAGCACCTCAGGGCATTCAACAAGTATGGGCCTCTTCAAAAGAGACTCTGCAGGAGGTGTTATCACTTGCTGATGATTCCACTGCTCAAAACATTGTAGGAAATTGTTTTTGGAGTGTGGGGTGTGTTTTCTTGAATATCATCATTGAGGGGAACCTCCATCTTTTAAAGGAAGAATATGATTTTTGGAAATGGCTGGAAGTCGCTTAGGGCCAACTGTAGAAAATACAGTAGTGATCAAATTGAGAATTGTCACTTGGGATGAAAGCCAAGGAATGAGAGCAAAATCATGAGGCTGGTTTGCTTCCCCAAGAGGACTTTTACAAATACAGGGAGAAATTACTGTCCCCTTGGAAGAATTTCCCAAACTCTCAGAAGGACTACTTTGAAGAAAGCAGTGTTAATTCAGATGAGGACATTCTAATGAGCTTGTTTCAAATAGATCTCACTCCATCTACTTAGATGTAGGTCTTCTAGGATCTTTGAAGGTGAGAAAGGAGAATTGTAGTGTGTGCAGGGTATGTCTCTATATTTCTCCATGGTACACAGAAGGTCATTTTATGTATTTCCAATCTATTCTTGCTCCAAAGGCAAGCTGGAGAGAGTATATGCTCGTCTGGAATCCTCAATTCTTCACCCTTAATTTGGAGTCGGCAGAGGGGTTGCTGCCCTCTTGGCCTTCCAGTTCCTTGTAATTTATGTGGGTTTAATCTTAGGGATTTGATGGAGTGTCCAGTAACCCCATGTAATCACAGAATTTCAGGGATCATAGAGAGCAGCTCCTTCAAATCCCACCTTTCCCCTCCCCTCATTTGAGAGAGAGGAGACCGAGACTAGAGAAAAGGTCTTACCCAAAGTCTCATCACCAGGAGGGGAGTAAACTAGGTCTCGACTCCTGGCCCCATGCTCTTTCCCTTGTGTTGCTGTCCCACACCTGAGGGCTGAGGAGGCCAGTTAGCAGAGTTGAGCAGTTTATTCTGTTTTGCTTAGAGATTTCTGAGTTCTCTGGGTAAGTGACCAATTCGCTTTGTTTAATGAAGTGACATCAGGACAGGAGCTAGAGCACTGGACTGCGAGTCATGGGATAGGGTCTTGCTTGGCTGACTCTGCCTGGGTGATTCACCCTGCAGTATTAAACAATTGTTTTTAGCTTAAATCTCAGTTTTGTCATCCTTATAGTGGAAGACTAATCAGTTACATTAGTGGATTCAAAGTATCTCTTTCAGCCCGGTGTGTCTCCTAAAGCAGCTCTTTTACCAAGACGGTTCTGTTCAGAAAGTAAGAAATCATTCTCAGAGGAACTGCAGGGCAGCAAAGGGCCTTGTTTATATCAGGTAAGAATTAGAATCCTCATTCATGTAAACTTTCATTCAAGTATTTTAGACTTCTTTTTTTTTATTTTTTTAAAGATTTTATTTATTTATTTAATTGACAGAGAGAGAGAGAGAGAGAGACAGCGAGAGGGGGAACACAAGCAGGGGGAGTGGGAGAGGGAGAAGCAGGCTTCCTGCTGAGCAGGGAGCCCGATGTGGGGCTCGATCCCAGGACCCTGGGATCATGACCTGAGCCGAAGGCAGTCGCTTAACCAACTGAGTCACCGGGGGCCCCTCAGGTATTTTAGACTCTTCTAAGTGTAGAGCCCTGGACTATTGGGAAAATTCAGAGGTGCTTATTCCTCCATTTATTCTTTACCTGCTCTGTGATCATCCCTGCTAGGTGCTATAATATACCAAGATCATCCTGGCCCCCGAGGATTTAGGTCTATACAGCATGATCCCCACTCTCAGGAAGCTTACCATCTAGTTGGATCACTATAGTGGTCAGCATTCTTTCAGTGGCAAGTGACAGAAATCCAACTCAAATGGCTTAAATAAATAAAAATTAAATAAAATAGGGATGGTGGGGTTTTTGGCTCACCTAACTTAAAAGTGGAAGAGTATCTTGCTTCAGGAGTGACTGGCTGGCTCAGTCAGTGGAGCATGGGACTTCTGATCTCAGGGTTGTGCATTTGAGCCCCACGTTGGGTATAGAGATTACTTAAAAATAAAATCTTTAAAAAAAAAAAAGAGTATCTTGCTTTAGGCATGAATGGATCCAGATACTCAAATAATGCTATTAAGAATATGTTTATCTCCATTTCTTGGTTCCTCTGTGTCAGCTCATTTTATTTATTTATTTTTATTTATTTATTTATTTTTAAAAAGATTTTATTTGTTTATTTGACAGAGAGAGACAATGAGAGAGGGAACACAGCAGGGGGAGTGGGAGAGGGAGAAGCAAGCTTCCTGCAGAGCAGGGAGCCCGATGCGGGGCTCAATCCCGGTATCCCGGGATCATGACCTGAGCCAAAGGCAGACGCTTAATGACTGAGCCACCCATGTGCCCCTGTGTCAGCTCATTTTAAAGTCCACTTCTCTCCTAAAGGTGATAAATAAGGCTACTAGCAGTTCTGAATTTACATCATTTTACCTTAGCAATGCCTGTGGGAAAAGAACATCTGTTAGTCAGTGGTTCTAGCAAAAGTTCCAGGGCTGATTCTCATTGGCCCAGGCTTTGGCCAAGGATTCACCTCTTAGTTAATCAATGTGACTTTGTCTAAGACTTCAGCCACATTCCCATCCCTGGCACACATGGACCGACAGTAGAGAAAGGTCTGTTCCTGAAAAGGGAAATCAAATGTGACCTCTGGTAAGACAGGCGCAGACAGAAGCCTCACTCTGGAGGGTCCGAGCACTAATATATGCTGGCTGTAAGTGCTGGGGAAACCCAGGGCAATTGAGGAGGTGGCCCCTTCATTGGGAGGTGAGGCTTGAGTGGGAGGTGAGGAAGTAGACAGGTGTGAGGTGTGGGAGAGCATTCTGAATGGAGAGGAAGATCATGGGCAGAGACATGGAGGTGAGAAAGCCACAGGTGGCTTGAGTGTGACCTCCACACAGGGGAGCAGTTGGAGGAGAGGGGAGGAAGGAATGATGGGGCTACAGTGTACAAGTCTCTGAATACCGGGTTGGGAATTTGGACTTTCATCAGCAGGCAGTTCAAAGCTACTACAACTGTTGTTATTATTCAGGAAAAATAGTTAACATTTTCTGAGGCTTCGCTGTATGCCCGACCATGTGGTAAACATTGACACAAGTTCTATTATTTAATCCTCACAACGATCCTGTGGAGTAGGTACCATTATTACTCTTTTGTAGAAGAGAACACTGAGCCTCAGGGACGAGTCATTTGTCCAAGGTCATACAGACGGTAAGTGGGGGAACTAGTATTGTAACATGTTCTGTCTGACTCGAAAGCCCAAGGATTTATGAAGGATTTATGGAGGAGCATTAGGGATGGGAGGCAGTGGCAGGAGGTTTTTGGCATAAGACTCAAATGTTAAGAGGAGAGGCTGAGAACCCAGGGGCCTCTTGGAGTCAGGGGCCAGCTTCTCTAGGTATCTCTGATACTCTGGACCTGGTCTTTCCCACTTAGTGAGAACACACAGGTACCGGCTTCAAGGCTAGACATTTTCATACTTGTTAGAGCAGTTCATGTTCATCTGTTAAAGTGATTTACCCAAATGTCACACATCTAGCGAAAGGTGAAGCTGAAACTTAACGCAAGTCTGAATGGATCTAGTACCTGCTCTCACAACCAAACTGGACCCTGGGAGAGGAATGCCCAAATCACAAGATACGGCTGTCAGCTCTCTGTACTCAGTGTTTACCTGTGGGCCGGATGAAGTTAGCCAAGGGGAGGGTGCTGGCTGGAGCAGAGATGCAGGGTAGAAGCCTGGTTGAGAGTCCGGGGGTGTAGTGTGGGGTAGTGGTTTAAGAGCACTTAGAGGACTTAGAATTCTCTCTCTGCTCCTTCCCAGCTGTGTGGCCTTGGATAAGTGGGTTTTCCTCTCTACGTCTCAGTTTCCTTATCATAAAAGAGAGATTATTGTTATTATTTTTAGAGATTTTATTTTTTTAAGATTTTATTTATCTGAC